GCTCCTGGCCTTACTACCAGGAACAAGAAGCTACTAGGAGCAAGGGCCTCGCTACTAGGAGAACAGGTACGAGACTCCAGGTACTTGGGACATCGAGGGACGCCAGTCGGTGAGTCGGCTGCCGACTCACCACTTCGAGCAAGACACAGGAAACGGTGCATGGTTCTCGTTTTTTTGTGAGACATAAAAAGAATTCGAATATATGAATGCATCACCGTGACCCGTGTTCGCAAGAAAGGAAACTACACACATATCAATTAGTTTCCCTAAAAATCTAGAAGCCAAATCATTAGTGTGAGCGCTTCTTCAAGGAAGCTTCCCCGCCGCCTTCAGCCTTTAGGGCGGCGGGAGGAGTTTCCTTGAAAAAACGTGAGCTATCCTGCGTCCAGTAGATAGTAGCTTACTTGTAGGTACTAGCGACTTCCTCATCTCTACTAGCGACTCCCTAACGGCCTACCCCCCTTGAAAAAGACAGTGTAAACACACACACACACATTCCAAGTGTGGTCAATTTCTAAACCGGAACCGGACCTTCCCCTCGGTCAACCTACCCCGGTTTTGGCCAGGTGCATCGCTCTTGGGCGGAAAAGCGGCGTACGATGCCTCAATGATTTCAATCTATCTCAGTAGAAATATGGCAAGGAGCCCGCACAGGCACAGGGAACTCATGGGTGCGCTTTTTTGACATCAAACTAGAAAGCACGTGCATCATCTCAAGAATCCAGTTCAATTTGACATGTTAAGACATTTGACTTCATATGAGCTGAGTTTTTCTTGCTTCTCCTAGAGACACGTTGAAAAGGGCACCTGTGACCAGCACCCAGTGTTTTTACGGACGACGACTGAGCAGCGTTCAAAACCTTAAGTTCATGTCGATAAGTCATGTACGATGACAGTAATTTTACTTGCCAGGATGTTCCTTCGGTTTCTGAAAGGTTATTCCCTGTTCCATGCAGCACTACAAGCCCGTGCCGGTTTTGCGAGCAAACGGTTTTCTTGGGCCAGTGCGATCCATAGGAAGCGGAAGAATAGATGGTAGAAGCAGAACATGTACGTCTTTGGCCCCCCAAGAGGCAAGGATCATTCCGAAAGCAGATGCATATCATCATTTTGCCGGTCAATACTATAGCGTAAGCGCAGCTTAGGTTCAAAGTGACCTGCTGTGAAAGGCTTGGCCCATCAGCCATTTCATTTGAGGTTGTGGTTCTATGGGATGCGGGGTACATATGATATAATTGCAGTTCTGAAGCTGCAGCCGACCCAGTTGTTGCTACTTACCTGCAGTCCGCCTTTTGTTTGAGTTGCTTCCTGTCATGCTTACAACTTGGCTGCAAAGCGACATCAACTGTAAGCATGACGTACGACTACTTGCACATGTTTCGCGGTAAGGCATGGGAAAACAGACGGTTTCCACCTTCATAAGATTCCCTGTGGGAATCTCGATGGTTTGAACGCGTGCTGCTCAACTTTTACGCAGAATGATCCCAAGGCTGAACAAAGAGATGGATGTGTCATAACTGCAGTCATACAGTCACTAAAACACGATCACATACAAACCTGGAAGAAAGAGACCACATGCCCTTTTGACTCATCCGACATCAAATTTGCCCGGGGCTCCTTGAATTTTTTCCCGGAACAGACGTGGCGAGGAAAAGTGCTGTCGAGCGGTGTGTGTGGTTGTTTCGTTTTGTGCCATCCAAATCATCATTCTTCAAAGTGACTGAACTTGAGATCCAGGAGGAGGTCACTTATAGACCTGTAGTTCGATTCACTTAGAGACTCCAGTTTGAGGTCATGGACTAGGTCCGGTCCCAGCTAGCCTTGACGCCTTCCCGGTTGCTGAAACCGAGGTTGGAGAGCCATGGCTTGTGCGGCTCAGGCTTCCAATTCTCCGTGCAAGCAGGGCTCATTCTGGTGCAAGGTGCCCACCCAGAGCAGGCCTTCCAATGTGGATCCTTTCAGCTACTGTGAAGAAAGCGGCTTGCGTCTCTCGCGAGGTGGACCTGGACATGCCTCCAACCTAATAGCTTCTTGATCCTAGTAGTGATGCCGTAATGCGTAGTAATGCCAGGAGCTACGTTCGTAGCTTCCTTGTTACTAGTAGCGATGCCCTTTGCTCCGTTCGTAGCTTCTTGTTACTACCTTTGGCGTTCTTTGGCCTTGTTCGGTTGATCGGTGCATGTTGGGAGAATCAGCGTGAGGGGTCGATGTTGCGAAGTGCAACGAAGGGTGGGAGGGGTAACAATTGTTAGTGAAATGTTCGTAACAAGAAGCTACGAACGGAGCAAGAAGCTACTATAGTAGCTCCTGGCCTTACTACTAGTAACAAGAAGCTACGTTCGCAACTGACGGCATCGCTATTGGTGAGGTTCATGCATTAGCTTTGGGCTCCCGCGCTCGCGGAATCTCAAGTCAACAGATTTTTCGCCCCCAAAAAGTTAGATGTTTTTTGCACAGAGCGGCTGGAAAGCATGGATTCACCAGAAGTCATCAAAGCATGCGGTGTAAGACGAAGCCTCCAATTTGCATGTGCTTTTAACACCAAGCGGACGTACACAACGCTGAGGCCTTGCCAGCTGCACGTCATCTCAGACCTTCCTTTTGAAAGCTCTGAGCTGAGAACAGAAGAGGGTGTATTTGGAACATGAGCATTCCTGGAAACAGCCGAAGGCTATTTCCTTTGATAGGATATCATGATGATTGTTGGGATGCGTACGTGGGCAGGCATGCCACAGCTTCTTAACCTGCTTGATCCGAGCACACCTGATCATCTATCTATACGTAAAGTATACAGAAATTACTATATTATACTATATTACATTATTCGTACGTATATATGACTATATCTAGTACAGGCTAGAATCAGAATAAGATCAACATTATATTATAAATGTATTAATCTTAATATATCGATTGTATGACTGAAGACCTTTTCGACTGTTCACCTCGCGCAATCGCTCGACCTCGAGGTGAGGACCGGGTGATGATCGTCGCGCCGCCACCGACGTCCACCAACTCACTGGCCACCGTGTGTGGGCGCGGCACTAGCGGTCTGCAGGCGGGAGCGTTCGAAGAAGAAAACGTATCTCAAGATCGTTTGGTGGAAGGAAGGGGGAGATGAGATGCAATAGCTAGTTAATTTTAGCAAGTTAGCAATATAGCATAACTCCGATGTGCAAGTTGGTGAGGTGACGTCTTTTTAATTGCGCCAGGTTTAGGTATCAGGGGCATTCAGGTGTGTTGCGCCATTTTATGCGCCCCGTGGCTAAAGAACAGGAAGGTTTTCCATGAGTATGCGCCTAAAATTGCAGAAAATAGCGGAGATTGGGACCGCTTCATCTTATGGGCCTCCGTAAGAGGAAATCAAAAGGAATCAAAAGGGCATCAAAAGGAATCAACAGGAAATTAATAGGATTCAAAAGGAAATGAGAAGGAATCAGAGGGATATCAAAAGGACATTAACAGGATTCAAAAGGAAATTAACATTCATCAAAAGGACATTGAAGGGACATCAAGAGGAATACAATACACAAAATAGTAGTTGCGCCATCTATGACCGCCAAATAGCGAGAAAAAGGAGATACATGGCGCAGCTGTTCCCGCTATTGTTTTGGAGTTGCGCTAACAACTTCCCCCCGGTGTAGCGGTTTTTGTCTCAACAACATACATCGTTGCCATTGTAATTAAGACTCTTTTAGTCAGCCAGCGCGTTTTTCAAAAAAATCACGCAGTTTTTGTGTGGCTTGTCACTGTTTGTCAAGGAAGAAGATAAATTAAGTTGTTGCTTGATTGTTTTGTGTGTTTCTGACTCAAAGGTGCAGCTGACCTCCTCCATGAGCATTTGGGACACCACCAGCACCAGCCCGGCGATTTTCACCACGACTTTGGCGCCGAACGAGACGACCACCACACTGGAACCACGGCCCTCGCACTACGTGGGGGCCCCTCGTCGCTGTCCGTCTCGGTTTCGACCGCTCGTCTTTAGGTGTTGCGGTCTCCACTCGGGAGCCGCAACACCTCATGGTCTCGTGTTTAGGCGGAATCGACCGAAATTCGTTTTTGTGAGATTTGTATGTTTTTTAGTTGTTTATTGTTTGTGTTTTTTGTCTGCGTGTGTGTGTGTCTCCTCAATGAGAGGATCTGTGTTTGAACCTTCTTCAGGCAAAGGGCAGGTGAATGATGCAGAAGCGATCAACAACATAACGAATTCAAAAGAACTCACACACGGTTCGGGAACTCGTTGTGCAACCAGGAGAAATTGGCTAGGAGACCGGCGACAGCCGACAGACTTTGAAATACACCAATTGCATCCAATTGCGCCTATTTGGGGGATGATCACCAAGGGAGCAAACCACTCATTTGCAGGAATTGGAGCATTGGACGCTCAGAAGGTTCATTGGAACACCTTGACAACAAGGTGAGTGTATAGGTCATGAGATGAGCAACATCCAAAAGGGTCGGTACACATATCTTTTTGTGAGAGGAACAATTTCATTGAAATCATCTAAAGACCTGTAAAGCATATATATATATATAAAGCGATATAGTGACCCCCCAAAAGCGATACCTTCACAAGGTACACTTCAATCATGTGATTCACATCTAATTACTTTGCAACCCTGTCAGACGAAAGCTTTGGAAATCCGTTTCTTGGCATTGTTTTTGCATGCTGCGTTTTCAGGAGAAATTCTCAAGAAGTATGACAAAGGCATCCGAAACACAGTAAAGCGATATAGGGACCGCCCAAAAACAATACGGAGTTCCACTTTTGTGCCCACAGGTTTTGGACCTCACTCAGATGGCTATCAGTAAATCTACATGTCACCGCACTGTCCGCACTGTAAATCTGTAGATTCAGAAGCTGGACATGCCTTTGATATCCTTGATAATAATCATTACCCACTTTACAAAGCACCCCGGACCCCAAGCCATCCCAGATCTACCTGTACCAATCGCAATGCTCCTTTTGTCCAGTTGGATAGTCAGGCTGTCAGCAGCCCTGCACTTCCATTCATTGTTGACAACAACCCCAGAGAATCTGCCAAATGCATGAGGATAGGACTATACTTGGACGACTTTCTGATCAGTAAGAGACAAGTTCCGAAGGCTTTCAGACATCTCACAAATTCAATCCCACCAGCGCGCTTGGACACAAACGGCCTTCACTAAGCGAAGTGCAAGAACATCAGGAACAAGTTGTTTTTTTTGGCATCTGGGGTTTTAAACGCGATGACGAGACGAACCAACCTTGTGTCCACCCAAGGAACCTGGGTTGGTCGGTTGCGTGGCCGGCATTTTCCGGCGAGTTTTCGGACTCAGGAGTTCCACTTAGAGTCTGCTGGGCAGGCGGGGCTCTACCGGATTTGCTATTGTTTCTCGTCCGAAGTGTATGGCGACTCCCAAATAACATGGTGACAAGCCAGGGAAGAGCTGCGTGGTTCCGAGCGATTGGATTGGGATCTAAAGCTGCGCACCATCGCACCTGGAATTGGCGGTGGATGGAATCCTCACGAACGGATTGTTTGAGACACAGTGGCGTTCTTGGGTGAGGAAGCGTCCTTTGATTCAAGAGTCCATCTTGGTCTGAGCAAAGCTATAAGCTAAGTGGTGACTTCGGACATGTTTGAGTTTCAACCCTCACTTCGGATGATAGAAGCCATTGACCAACAATGCTTCAAGTGACTTGAAAATAA